ATTACATTTTGGTATGTGATTAAACGGGGGGGGGGGGGGGCAATTTTATAGTTCGTCCATGGGCGCAAAATATCCTAGCTACGCCACTGCTTCGGCACGCCGAGGTCTCCTTCTCCTTTCGTACGGCCGATGTAGATGAGAGAGCAACAACGACTACAATCTCCCATTGAGGTGGTCACGCCACACCACCGCGTCAGGAGCCGGCAGAGTCGTGCATCGCTTTGATGTCTGCTGCGTCTTTGTGGATCGGGGCCGTTGCGTCGTTACGCACTGTACGGTTCTGTCCTGGACAACCGCAGTCGCGCCGCCGCTGCTGCTGGAGAGCTTTACAATGTCCAGTCGGGCATCGGCGTATCCACATCTACTGGCAGTGGATGCGGTTTAGGGTGGACCGCGAGATTGGCGGAAGATCAAAGCCCAGGTGGATCTTCTGCGTTGAGATCCTTCACAGGGAAGGTGGCACGCGCTGGTCAATGCGGGTTGGGTGGAATGGTTCCATCTGTCGCTGCTGGCCCAGCACCAGTGCAGACACTTACACACAGATGTCGCTTGCGCTATGCAAGCCGGGCGTGCTTGGGTTCAGCATCGCAATGCTCACGGCGAACATCAGTGGCGAGGAGTGCCTGAACCTGTCCTGGATGTCCCCCACCCAGTGTCGGATAATCCTAGAAGCAAAAGTAGCACATGCAACGGGCCCCACACTTTCAAGGGCCCCGCGCTAAATGCTTACAAGCTATCAATTCCGGTTCAGTGATTCTGCACTTGCTCTATTACTGTAGTACTATACTGCCTTCAACTTTTATGAACCACTGGGTTGTTTAAGGTTAGCGATTTGTCATATTATCTGGCTGTGTAGCAAATAAAAAAATACAATTACTTTACTATGCAAGTAAAACATTTGTGGGACCTCCTTTGCCAGCACCAAAATATGAGAATACGTTTTTCCCCTTTCATCTGTACGCATTTTGGCGTCCTCTGGTCTAACACCGTTTGAGACGAGGCTCAAAAAAAGCTGTCTCTGGTGTGGACCCATCAGTTTCAAAGACAATGTGTCTATTATCAGAGTATGTTTTTTGTTTGTATTTTGACCATAAGTATTGTGGTTAATGTAGACATGATTCCTTGTAAAAGGTTTCAGTTTGGTGTTTAACATATTTAATATATTTTTATTTTATTATTTCACTTCTACGTGACTTTACCGAAAGAACCAAGAATATCTTAACACCTGTTTTGTTGCCAGATAAAAGGGGAAAACTTATTCTCGTAAAAAATAGTTTTAATATTTATTTATGTTATTTTTATTTAGGGCCCCTTTATAACAGCATATGCTACAGGCACCGCACTAGCTTCATCCGACACTGCCCCCACCCCCTCCTTCGCCTTCACCAACCATCCCGCACCCGAGTGATGAAAATAGTCAAACGACCCCCCCAACATCATCCGGTAGGGGGTTTACAAAGCAGCCGTAAATAAAGATTTTTTTATTTGAGAGGGATACCTTCAGACATACATTAACGGCAGGCATACAAATGCAGACATGCAGTCCGACAGACAGGCGGGCGGGCGGAGAAACGCGAACACATTCACAGAGAGAGAGAGACAGGGAGATATGGAGACAGGCAGCCAGCCAGAAACATCGGCAGACAGACGTCCCGGCAGGCTGCAGACACACAAACACATCACCCAGCAGTGGATTGACACAAATGATGGGGCACGAGCATTAACACAATCGTGTCTGTAAAGAGTGCTGCTGATGCCAATCGCCCTCCCTCCACCCTTACCCATCTCCCTCCCTCTCCTCCCTCGCCCCCCCATCTCCCAGTCTTTCCCCTCCCTCCCTCCTTACCCATCTTCCTCCCACTCCTCCCTCGCCGTCTCCCTCCCACCATCTCCCACTCTCCCCCCCATCTCCCCTTCCTCCTCCCTCCCTTCTTACCCATCTCCCTCCCTCTCCTCTCACCATCTCCCACTCTCCCCCCATCTCCCAATCTACCCCTCCTTATCCATCTCCCTCCCTACCATCTCCCAGTCTCCCCCTCCCCACACCTCCCACTCTCCCCTTCCTCCCTCCCTCCTTACCCATCTCCCTCCCTCTCCTCTATCGCAGTCTCCCCCCCCCAACATCTCCCACTCTCTCCTACCTCCCTCCCTCCTTACCCATCTCCCTCCCTCTCATCTCCCAGTCTCCCCTTCTCCCCCTCCCTCCCTCTGTGGTGGGAGCGCGTGGAGGAAAATTAAACGATCTTCAAATAAACACGTCCAGGCGAGACGGCGGTCGTGCTTGCCGCTCCTCGCTCACAGAAATCATCGCTCACACCGATCGATGTGCGCACAATTGCCCGTTGTTTTACGAAGCCACGCGAATTGGACGCGATCCAAGGAATGAATTTCTCACCGCGACGAGCATTGCACAGGTCGTAGGTGGACTCGTTCTCAGGGTGGACGCAGAGCAGTCGGGAGAGTTTGACGAGCCAAAACTCACTCACTTCGCTCACCGGGGCGGTCAGTCATCTCTTTATTACTCGGCTACCGCTTGTACCATGGTTACGTTTATGTATGTTGAACTTCTTTCGCGCCGTGCGTAGCCAACCCTGCTGTTCCGGGGATTATTTCGGCACCCGGTCATAGCCCATCTCGCTTTACTTTGGCTTCATAATAAAATAAACCTCTTTATACGATCATAGAAATATAGGGGGCACGATTATATACGATTACTCATTGGCCTGTGGCCACATCTGCGGCACTAAAGCTACGCTGCTGCCTTCTGCACGTACGTGATTCTACGCAATTACCTTAAATCGCTGGGTAAGTTCAACCTCTATGGGCCCGGTCCCTTGACCTTTAGGCTTCACCCTTTTCTGATTCGCCCACCCCCCACCCACTTTCTGAATTTCAGCTCTGCGCCTTTCCTTTTTAGGACACACCCCTTATTTTTGAGGCCCCGCCTCTTTCTGTGTAGGCCCTACGCCCCCTGGACAGAGACGGGGTTGGGCTGGGCTGTGAAAGGTGGGGGGGGGGGGGTCACGTGCCGCAGTGTCGGCAGTGGTGGGCGGGGACATTAGGAGGGGGTGGGGCGGATTCACGAAGACCAAAATCCCTCTTGGAGCAACATGATGCGTGCCATATACTCTAGTGGTAGTGCCTTACGCCGATTATCCGTGCTCGAAAATCCAGCCTTGCTTCAAGCCCTGGACGACCGATAATAGATGTCCACGAGAACCAAGGCGATGGGAACTGACACAGCGACCTGGAGCAGGGATTATCGGCATAAGGCACTACAACTAGAATACAAGCTACGCCTATTCATAATCATCCGGGGCCCTTAATTTCTGGCAGGTTTATAGCAATCTAGTGTACACGATGAGGACAAAACCAGGCGAGATGGATGTGGCGTGCTAAAGCAAATTCAGCAGCAGAGTTCCGCACTGTTCGTGCTGAAATAAAAGCACCATCGGTGAGAAAGCTCGCGTCAACTCAAAATACGGCTATACTCTTAGGTTTTTTCGGTAAAGTCACGTAGGTATTTTTAAAAAATAAAATAATAATAAATAATAATAACTCAATTAAATCACGACGTTTTGGAGGCAACACAAGTCTCCGTCTTCAGGTGGGACCGTCACAGCTAAATCTACTGCATCAAGTGAAAGCTTCAAATCTAGAATCAAAAGACGGCCGCAGCGGTGTGCGGCAAAAGCTTCCGAGAGAAGACATTGACCACGCTACACCACTACGAATGGTTGCGACAAAAACCTACGTACGTGCCGAACTCAGGCGATTCATTCATTCATTCCGTCTGGCGGCGGCGAGCGAGCGAGGTGGCCGCGTTCCGGCAGGATGTTCCGCACGGCCGTCGATCTGTCAGGAGCGACACGGGAAGTCGTCGTTTCCCGTTCCTGTGCATTGTTTCAACGCTGGCGCGGTGCAAAGTGCACGGCCCGTTCTAACCCTCCGCGACAGGAGACAAAGATTCTCCACCCACCCCCACTCCGATATCCCAACGCTGGTGGAGCAACTGCCGGTGGCAAGCGCCAAACGAATGGCAACAACCACGAGCTGGATGGTTACGGCCAGTGCCACACCCGGTCGGTGGCCTTTCGTCTCCACCTACCACACCACGTGCTCATCGACGCATTGCAGGCCCGGTGCAAGGTATTCGTCTCCGATGTTAAGCCGTGGCCAACTCACAACAGCGCCCATGTGGTCCACGTGTAAATCTGTGTCCATTTAACCGCGAGTGCTTTTCAGAAGTGCTGTGGATATGGGATCGGGCACAATTCACACCACACCGCCCCCCTCCCCCCGAGCAATTTGACGAATTACCGTCGACTCAATCGCGCGTCGGCTGGCCATGCGAGCCCGATGCACGGCGACGTTGCGGCGAACACAACCACCAAATAACTTGGGATTCTTCAACACGCCAATTTGACGCGTGTGCGGCGAGCGTAGCAATCAATGGTGACGCATTAAGCCATGCATCGTCGCACCGCCCGCTGTTACACGGGTGTCGGTGGTGCGATGTGCACAACGAATTCGCCGGTGGCGGAATTCTCCCTGGATCTGCCAGCGAGATCGTCTCTCTCGTGCAGTGTTCTTCACTCATTTTCAGAGGGGAGGCGATATCAAGTGCGAGGGCTGCTACACATTTCAAAATATTGGGTGTGACTGCACGATGGGGGCGGCGTTTTGACATTTCGTGTATTGTCGGGGGCCACGCATGTTTAAGGGCCGCACTAAAAAGCACCAGTGGCCCCTGCGGGCCTTGCGATGAACACTGCTCTAGGAGGAAGTGGCGGTTCCCGTTCGATTGCTACGGACTGGATGTGGTGGAACCCATCGGGCACACAGCCTTCTGGGTTGTGCATTCTTCAGCAGCATTGGTTAAATACAAAAAAACCGTGGAATGGTTTCGACATTCAGTGCCTTATCAGCAGTCAGGGCTCGCTTTCATCAATGATCAATATCGTTATGAAAAGTTGAACAAAAACACCACCGGACAATGCTTTTCACTTCTAAAACGTTCGTTTTATTTTGCGACACATTTTCTCAGCCCGACGTCTTCGTCTCAAAAGGTCCTGGAAAGTGGAAAAAACAAGAGATTAACGGCGAAAATTGACGGATAATTCATTGCTTCCTGTGGGCTTGGCACGGTTGGCTACGTACAGTGCGAGAAGTTCAACAAACATACGTACAACACAGAGGCAAGCCCTACAAAACCAGCAGCTCTTACCGCCGTGAAAACCCTGCACCGATCTCTAGGTCACGTGGGGATGTTCCGCAATTATCAGGCATGTACAGCATGGAACATAACTTGTATTTGAATGGGGATGACTGGTAAACGTGGCTGGTGGTGGTTTGGTGGTGGGGTGGTAGTGGTGTTGGTGGTGGGGTGGTGATTAGATGGTGGTTGTACTGCGAGCGTGTATCTGTCGCCATTTACGTGTGTATACAGTGCACATGTGTATAGCGCATCTAAGTAGAGTGTAAATGTGTGGAATGTCAGTGTGTACAGTCTGTACAAGCATTTCAATGTATGATATATCACACCTATATGTTTGTATGCAAGTGTAGCGTGTGGTGCTTACGTTGAACTTATTTCGCATCATACGTACCAACCCGTGGTAATCGAAAGGGCGAATGTTGCGATGTGTAATTTACGTGCGCAGTGTAAAGCTCAGTCATTGAACTGCAGAATACCCCACCCAGGTCTACAAGAGGGGGGGGGGGCTCGTCACTCTCGAGAAACATCGCAAGGCGCCGGGTCGCGTGCGTGCGCGTGTTGCCGTGCGAGACTGTGGCGGTGCTGGCGGGAGCTGTGCGTCGTACTTTGAGACGATGGAGTCTTCCTTCGCCAGCCGCAGGATGCAATCGTCAGACTCGCCCTGCAATGGGGGAACAGAAATATATTTTTTTTATTGTTTGTCGCTTTCTTGTAAAAGAGCTTCATAGCTCATCGGATTTCTTCAGGATAAAGATTCCGATTTCAAATCACGCACAAGGATTCCGCAACGCTTGTCGACACGTGACATCACAGTGACGTCATCGGGGGGGGGGGGGGAGGGGTCCGCGGGAGTGGCAATGCGAATCCTTTTAGCAGTGGTTTTTATACCGCTTAAGTTTTGGGCAACCCCTGTGATCAACGTGGCCGGTTTTCTACGCGGCAAGTTCCAAATTGCAATACAAAGGACCTCGAATTTTGTTCGTAACAGATCACCGTTATGAGAGTAATCATGCCTCCTCCGTTACAGATGGAGAGAGGCAATGCATTGATGCTTTCAACCGTTATTAGAAAGCGTTACCAATAAAAAAACAACACGCATGAACTTGCATCTCTGCGTGTGCGAGCACAGTTTCTGCTGCTGCTGTATGAACAGCATTCTGCAAAATACGGACACGACACTCTGCTACAACTACCATGGTGGCTGTTTCCATGAACTTCACTTCCTCGATTAACTCCACCCACGCTGATAACTCGATATTCCAGATTGACGGTTTCATCTCATCCACGTATGTGTTGAACCACCCAGAGCCGGCCCAGCCACTAAGCGACCCTTGCAATTGCAAAGGGCCCCGTGGCCAGCAGAGGGCCACCTTAGAGTCACTGCTAGCTAGTGGGTGAAAAAAATCATACATCAAAGGGGCCTCCAACCAAATTTTGCTTAGGGCCCCCAAAGGTCTAGGGCCGGTTCTGGAACCACCACACTGCAGGTCACAGCACTGGGGCGCCACGATCACGATACGTTAACTACCTCGCCTCGTATACAGGAGGGCGTGGGTTCGATCCCGACCCTGACGCCTGAATATTTAGAGTTGGCATGTTCTCCCTGTCCTCCGGTTTTTGCCTCCGCATTTTTGAAAGATATGTTGAGAGTATTTGGCTGATATAAATTTATCTGAGCTCTCATGTGTGGCCAATTCACTTCTGAACAAGAGATAAATAGCTCAGTGAGCCTTACCTGGTAAAATAAAAATAGTTAAAAGTTTAGTTTCACATTCTGCTTGTTGCCTTGCACGGCCCCACTTTGGAATTCCCTCCCATCGTCTTTTTTTATTAATATTTTCCCACGTGCTCACAACCTTGCTCCGCTCAAAGAAACGTGTTAAAACTCTGTTACACATTCATACAATGCTATTTGTTGGCCTTTCGGGCCTGTGCTCAGCAATCACAATTCAAACAAAAACATCGAAAGACGGGATCTTTTTACCATCCTTCTGATGGGTCCGCAGAGAGCGTAGGTCTTATACTGGCCGTTAAAACGGCCGGTGCTGGGGTCGACCTGAATGAAAAAGACAGATATAAAAAATCAAATCTGCTCAATCCAGAGATACGATTGGATACCTGGAGGATGAGAGGTACGGATTACACAACCGTAGCACCACGTGATGTCGCGGCACCTGACCGCGTGGCATATGATGTAATGCGCTCCTCCGATAAGCACGGTTGGCTATGTACGGTCACGAAAGAAGTTCCACATACATAAATCCACGTGACCCCCGTTGTGGCACATGCTAGTTTTATCGTGTGGGCCAATAGACAATTCAGCTGCTGGCATAAAGTTTTGTTATCATGTTCGTTTCGTCCCTTGGCATCTCCATTCTGCCATGTTTATCCTCATTTAAAAATCACTAAAAAGTGTGAATGCCATTTAATTTCAATTATTAAGTTTCGTTTGTTTTTTTCAATATGAAATTGTGGAATTCTGTGACGTCTGCCGGCTGCGTCGCCATTGATAAAGAGCCTCTCAGCTCAATAGGCTTCACTCGGGAAACACTTCCGAGCCTGATAATAAAGTCCGACATCTCCTTGCCAGAGACGCAAATCTGAGCACAACCGCACATCCCCGGCTCTTACCTCCGCGATGTTCATCTGTACAGAAGCGTGGTCTTTGGCAGCGATGATGCGGTTGCTGGCCGAGCTGCGCAGAGCCACAACACAAAACAACAATTAGAAGAGATTTCAAACCATAAACTCGAACAAGCGAGACTGTTGAACGTCACGTACGATGACAGAGATTAACCCACAGCACTGCGCGCAATTCGATGAATTGCCACAATATGGCATCACTCCAATTCAACACTTAACTACATCATTGGTAACTGGCGCGTTTGTAAATATTTCGCACGTCCCGTCTTGTTACGTGCGATTAGCCTAACGAACACATTTGTACATCACGTGCTATTACAGTAAGACTTGAGAACCCAGTTTAATCACTGGGTGGTGTTTAACACGGCATCAGGCCTGAGCCGTCATGCACCCCCACCCTCACACTTTTACCTTTAAATAGACAAACTGGAAAAGTTGTGCAACCACGGCCAAGAAGTGTGTAACATAATCAAGAGATCGGAGTGTATTTTCGAGGGGAGAGAAATACAAAGGTTGCTTGTGTAGCACACACAAGGCTGGAGGAAATGGTGTTAAACAAGCCCCTATTCAGGCATCTTCGTATCCCCAGTGTTGGTATCATGCACACTGCACCAGGTACTCATTGAAGACAGAGTTGACCTTGGCAAGCCTCGCGAACGGTTCACACAACTCGCCGACGTCAGCCGTGGTGCGGAATCGAACGCTTGTCACCGGTGCTCGGGCGCGAACCGTTGCACCACTGCTCCCCACAACACAGCGACACGCGCGCGCGCATACGCACCATTTCCGCGGGACGTACAGGTCCACGAACTCGCCGGTGTCGTTCTGCATGTTGATGTTGTTGTTGTTGGGTCAGATCCTGTGACAAACAGATGCACATCAGCCCCCGCAAATTTCATACCAAAATCTTGGCATTCAGGGAAATATTTCCACAATTTAACGATTACACTGCAGTCACAATATGGAATATGTCATCACAAATTCTTAGGCTTACGTCCTTCATAGGGTCCATCTCATACAAGAATGAGACCAAGCTTTGTCTCTGCTTAACAAAGACTCGAGTGAGTGAATGAGGCTGGCCCAAGCCATAGGAATGTGGAATTTAATCCACGCCAACAGACGAGCACCCTCCCAGCTCTCATTTGAACGAGGAACACTTTTGTTCGTTTTGAGCTATTCCAAAGCTTTCAATATAATGAAATAAATATTTACACGAAGCACTTCCGGCGAAGTTAATTTCATATTTTCCACCCAAGATCATCCAATATAGCCCCACAGTTCTACCGTTTGAGCTGTCAGAAGAGCCCCAGTCATGTAGACGAGTGCTCGTGACATGCAAGCTTTTCGCGACCAATATTATTCATAATAAAGATGTTTTTGGGTTAAGAATGCGTAAATATAAAAGTGTCGTTAACCCACCACCACCTGACACGGCCAATCAGTAAGGTTTGTCGCGTGAACAGAACGTGCCAACTCGCTACAACTTCAGAGAGAATTCTGCCAGATCGCCTGATGAATCTGGTTGTAATCACCAGCGAAACGTCACTCAAATTGGAAATGTCGTGGGTTTACTCTCCTCCAACACACCGGTGCGCTGAAGTAGCAACTAAATTGTCACGTTTTGTTCACGCGACAAACATTACCAATTGGCTACGTCGGGTGGAGGTGGGTTAAAGATATTCACGCAATCTCACCCAAGAGCCCGACTTCCGCCAAAGGCAGGCCCCGAGATTCCCAAAGCAGCGAAAAATCGTCGCTTAAATGAACGCTGCGAGGGAACACTGCTCAATAATGCTCGGAGGCTGATTGGACCAGAACATATTTTTTCCTGTCTGTTCATTATCTGGTCATTACTCACAATCTCCCACGATGGGCGTAATTGAATTTACGTTCACCTTCAAGCGCGCTAGAGAACCATTCGAGATAGCAATTGAGATAGCATCTTCATAGGGGCCATCCATTTAGTACGTACGCAAAAATCCGTCAAAACTTTACCCCTCCACCCCTCCCTGTACACGCACGCGGACTTTTTATACCCCCCCCCCCCCACCTGCGTACGTACGCCTGACGCACCACCCCCCCCTCGAATCCTATAGAACGGCCGATATTTAGTCCACGCAGAAACAATCAAGGATTAATAATATTAACGTGTTTAAGCAAACAGATAGTCCACCCCGCCGGACTATCTAACTAATTTGAAGGCCAATGTAGACAAATAATTATCGAGGCTTCACCACCCCCCCCCCCCCCCGTTTCCTATGCGTACGTACATTGTCAGTAGACCCCCACATACGTAAGCGTATGCATTTGGGTTAACACCCCCTCCCCCCTCCATGCGTATGTACTAAATGGATGGCCCCATAGAGCTATTGAAAGATCATCACTAAAGTCTGAAAACCACATCCCAGTGTTGGGAAACTGCTTAAACGAGGGACCAATTGTAACGGATTCTGAAGCCAATTCTTGCAAATTATTGCCAAGCATTAAAACGTCTCGAGCAATAATTTCCGAAGAATTAGATTTAAATTGTCTCATTGTTTTTAAACGGGGAATGTGGTCATCTATCTACTCAAGTTCAAGTTCCTTTATTAGGTATAGCCCTGTGAGCCATTCGGCTCTTGAATCGGGTGCAACCGCAACAAACAAAAAACATGAACAAAAAACATCTTAAAGTGAATATGTGACTAAGTTGCAAACAGAAAATCCAAGAAAAGACAGCAAAATATTGCAGAAAAAAATCACCGTACACCAACGCTGTGTGCAAAAATCCCAGTGGGATGCAAGTCAAACAATCAACAACAACCACAAGACAACTTAGATTAAGGCCATCAGTCTAACTCTGTACTACAACAAACAAACATGGCTAAACCAATACACTTTTCGAAATCACCAAAATAAAGCCATGAAAGCAATCAGCCATCAAACGCTGGCTGGGATTTGAACTTGTAAACTCCGGATTAGTGCAGTCAAGTAGTGATGTTTTATTTAATAATCCTGAAAATGAAGCTTGTAAAATCCCCCACTCCAATTAACTGTACGACTCGGGTTCGCAAATATAGAAAATATAATTTTTTAAAAATCTTTTTACCATGTCACTTTGTATTATTTTTTACAATGTCAGTCCATGTCGCAATGTAATCTGACCATATTAGTATTCACGTAAAAGTATCGATTATCACGGAAACGACAAGTTACCGTGAGAATCGTGTAGGACACTTAAACGAGTTTACACGTAATTTGAAAATGGTTGCAGTTTTTGTACACCTTTAAGTACTTCCATTTATAAACTTGTGTGTGTAGCCCATCTCTGCTAGGTCTGAGTACAATTGTGGAATTGTTACATTCCAATGGAGGTGGGACCTAGGACGGTCCCCGGTTTCTTCCCACGAAGTTGGTATATATTTGATCGACCCCGGAGGGATGCTGATAATGGAGCTTGCTTTGACTAAATGTACGGTTTCTAAGCGTTAAAGGCTTCAATGGGCAGCGGCAAAATTCCATTGGCATGTTAGCAGGATATACATTTTTTCCCCGTTTGTCTTCGCGTCCTGTTTACATTCGCAATCTGCTCTTGGGTTCACGTATTTGTTCGTCATGTAGCCTTTATTCAGCACTGGACTGATAACGGGAATGTATTGTACACGATCATGAGTTTAGTTAAAAAGCATTCAACATTCGTCAAAATCACTGCCTTAAAAATAAACAATAGCTCACGTTTCCGGGCAAGGTCCCGCTTATTTCTTTCTAAGGGCCATTGCGCGAAACGTCGGCTAGAATGTTTTCCCTTTTAAGGCAGTGTCTTGGAGGCGTTGGGTTTTTATGTGATTGTACACCACTGCCAACGCAATAATCTCCAAACACTTTCATTACAGTTGAGTTTTGCATTTTATTAGCATTTTAGTCAACTGCATGATGCTCTTTTCCAGGTATCTCTTGAAAGAGACTACTTATACTGGTCTCGTCGAGCTCTCTCATAGATCTGACAATCGTCTACATCAATGATGTTGGAACGTGCGTTTCAGGCGAGAATGAACGTTGTTAAGTTTATAAACGAGTGGTTAACCGAAACCACATGTGACCGAGACGTTAAGGCTCTACATATTCCATTTGCCTGTTATACTTGGGTGAGCTCACCCCGAGCTAAACATGCTCTGATAGTACATCGTCTTTGTATTGGTCGCCTTTTGGCGTTCCCTGGTCTGACACTTGGGTGAGCTCTGGTGTAGGCCAATCAGCTTCAAACACAAGGCACACATTATTATCAGAGCATGTTTGTATGTATGTTCCACTACAAAAACGGTGTATGTAATGCAGACTTGATTCCTTGAAAAAGGTTTCTTTTGGGTGTTTGCACACACACCTGTTTTATTGCGTTGAAAAAGGTGCAACACATTATTATGTTTTCATACTTCTCATTCCACCCCGCTGCTTTTAAACTCAATTCACGTTAAACCCTTCCCTCGTATACCAACTTCGCCACGAACTGCCAAAGCGCAGTTCGTGGACTCGTCACAAAAGCGACGTTAAAGACCACAATTTGCGCGTAGTCCGCAAGTTACGCAAATCTTCAATAACAAAAGACGCGCAAGTGCGCTTTGCCCAAAAGCTCTCTCGCTTTCCTTAAAAGTCCACCGCTGTAATCGCGAGCGCATTTCAATGCAGCTCAAAGCGCACGCCGGCACATTCCCGTTTTGTTTTAAACGCAACGCCGTTCAAACGCACGCCGGGCGCTTTATTACAACGCAACTCTTTACTCCGTCAAAACACGTAATATCTTTAAAGGCCACGCTAAGGTCGACGTTAAAGACACGAATCTCCCTCCCTCTCGTCTCGTCCGCTAGCCCCACGTGGCGGCACGCAAGGCGGAGGCCGCCATAGGCCTCGGGCCTAGTCCCGTGCCTCTGCGCGGCCCTCGCCGCCACCCAACGCCGCTGCCGCCGCCTCCGCGCCATTCCCCGCGCGAGTCTCGTAACGAGGAGGAGGAGAGGACGAGAAGTAAAAGAGGCGAGAGACGAGGAGAGACACAGACGAGCAGTCAAAGTGAGAACGGCGATGGCCACACACTCACCGACTCCACAGAGCGCAGAGGAAGAAAGGGAGGGCGGGAAAGGCGGAAGCACCCTTTGACCCCCCCCATCACCACGACAGGCCCCTCCCTCCTTACCCACAGCCCCCGCCCCCCTTACCCACAGCCCCTCCCTTTCCCCCACAACCCCTCCCCCCACCTCCTCTGCCATTCACTCGCCCAACCTCCGTCCACGATCGAAATGTAAATTTCCGAGTGATGTCATCCGGCTGTGAGGGAGGGGCTGGGGAGTGAGGGGCGGGTGGACTTGGGGTGGGGGGCGTTATGATTATATGAGAATATTTCATAATCGGAATATTGATTTATCCTGGAAGAATCCGATGAGCTATGAAGCTTTTTTCTTCACAGATGTTCAGTTGGGGCGTGTAAGAACGTTACGACAACACGAAATGCATTCAAGGGGTTTATTTCATTCTCCAGCAGTTTGTTAAGGCTATAAAGGAGGATCTTTGTATGTGTATGTATATCTGCGTGTGTCTGGATAACGTGAACAAACCACTCCCGTGTGTGTGTGTATATGTAAGGGCCTCTTTAAATACCCATTGAGCGATTTATTGAGCGACCCATATCATGAGGGCCAAGCATTCAATCCATCACTAGACACTCTCTCTCTCTACGTGGCAGATACAATCTATTAAAACACGGAGAGTAATCTGTCATCTCTACCCACACACAACAACCTGTGCGCGTGCGCGTGCAAGAGATACGCTCTGCAAAGTGATATCCAATAATCCAATATAACAGTGTAGATTTATGTAGTATATAGCATCTAAAGGACGCTGGGCAGAGACAGTGGGTGTATTAATTTGATAGAGAGAAGCAGTCGCATAGATCTCTGCATGTGCGTATATCATCTATAGGTCTCTATGTGAGTCCCGTATATGGGTCCTCTATGTTTGTCCATGGGTCTGTGTGAGTGTCAGTAAAACAACGCTGGGGTAGGTCATAGGCGGAGGAAAATGCAAAGTTTGTGCCTGGAGGTGAACAGGGAGTTGTGGGGAAGGAGATTTAGACTGTGGGAGCAGCATAAGAGAATTAGTGGCCTCCCACTGTCACGTTTCTTTAAAATTCGTGTTAAAGATTTGTGAAATATTTAGTGGCAAATGTTTCCCAAAGAGCCATCGGCAGCTCTGGGCATGTGTTGTTGCGCCATGTGGTGAGGTTAACCGCGGTGTTGGTGAGCGGTGTGGTGAGTTTAGCAATGGTGTTGGCGAGCGGTGTGGTGAGTTTAACCGCGGTGTTGGCGAGCGGTGTGGTGAGTTTAGCCGCGGTATTGGCGAGCTGTGTGTCACGTCGCGTCACCATTGGTTTAGGGCAGGGGTCGGCAACCTACGGCTCCGGAGCCGCATGCGGCTCTTTACGGGCTGCTTCTTGACGATGAGTACGTATGTACAGTATGTACTCAGATGCATTGCGGCTCTTGAAATACTGAATTTTGTACCGAATTGGAAAGAAATGGCTCTTCTTGTTATTTTGGTTGCCGACCCCTGGTTTAGGGGCTTCCTTTGGGTTCAGTGAACATTCTAGAAGTTTGCCACGGATGAACACACGGGCGGACATCGCGGATGGACACACGGAAACACGCATTTCCCGACCTCAGCAGTGAGTAGCCTTCGTGACTCCCTCCGCAAACATTAATATGGATTAACGCGACCCGCGGGGTCATGGCCCTGAAATTAAGGAAACCAAATTGACCACGCGCGGCGCAGCTGGGGCCACGTGCTCACGCGCGCGCGCGATGCCCTCGCTCACCCCAAGCGAGTCGGCTCTCATCAGATGGCAAAACCGAAAAAAAACATCGGAGGAAACACCGCGGCGGACGTTACGAACTCTGCGCGCGCACAAAGGTCTCGAAACGTGTCGTCCTTGTCACTGTGGTAACCCGCTGCTTGCGCGCCGCCAAACCACGCCGACGCGGAATGCTGCGACGGAGAGCGATGTGCTCGGTGGCGGGGTTTATTTCAGTTTTGTTGTTGTTGTCAATCAATGCACGTCACCTGCGGTTGTGTCGCGTGGATGGGATACGCCGTGGCCACCGAGCACAGGAAATGGAAGGAAATGTGAAGAAGAGTGCTCAAAAGAGGCGCGCGTCGGTGGCACCTCCTCGGAATGGTTACACCGAGAGGACGAGAGGAGGAACTCGTGAACCAGAGACGATGTTACCGGGTTGTCGATATCCCAGTGAACGTGGAACGTCGGGTTAACGTTGGGCCGACGTTGGTTCTACGGTTCCAACGTCTGGTCAACGTTGGCCAAACGTTGCATGTTGATCGAGATGACTAAAACCAAGTAAATTAGCTCGTGTGCAGGAAATATGTTGATTGCAACATCGCATAAACCGTGACAGATGGCGACAGCTTGCGGAGGCCTTCATCGAGCAGTGGAATGAGCATGGCCGATGTTGTATAGCAAAGACAACAACAACAACGCCATCAACCACGTGCACAAGAACACACGAAAAAAACAACACCCACCCCTCCAACAACCGCAACAGGCCCAATTCTTCACAAAATGCGGGTGACGTCACCGCGGCGCTTGTGCCAGACTAGGTGCGCGTGGCAGATCGCAAGACGGACGCGGTGTTTATGGGTTGGCTGACTGAGATGACTGGCAAGATGCGCTGCCTGTGCTCCCGTCTGTATAAAAAAGAAAACGCAAAGACACATTGACTCACACCCACACAATCACAAAGACACCACAAACAAAAACAAGACAAAGACCCCCCCCCCCCCCTTATAGCCTTTATCAAACTGTTGGGGCCAATTATGACTGAGATGAGTGGCAGATGCACCGCCTGTACCCCCTACTGTGTCACCTCGCTGTGTTTTTATCGCCCGTCGCTCCGCTCGTTGTTGTGAGCGTCGCTCCCTCCGCCCTTGTTGTTGCCGGAGGGCGATTGCCTCCAACCGCCCAGGAGCCTCCTTCACGAGTTACCCCCAACGCGCACACAACAACGAGCAAGACAAAGGATTCCTCGTGTCAGCCATACATTACGTTGGGGCAAGCGCTGTTATCGAACACATGGCCAACGGCCCGCGGTCGCCAGTTCCGAGACGGGTAAACACAGGTCACTGATCACAAACATTTAAGGCTGAGTCGACCTAGGGGAGGTCCCGGAACAGTTCAGATATTTCCCGCAGGCGTTGGCCCGTGGCCGGGAGTCGAACCCAGCGTGGGGTTGGATTCGTAGCGCAGTGCGCACAAGGGAGAGAGGGAGGGAGGAGACGCGTGAGAGCGAACCGTTGCCGAAGCGGGAGGACGTGATATCAGCCCGCGTCGTTATGGCGGTGCCGCGACTGTGTGCATGCGTCTCCACTGCGGAGCAGTGGCGTTGTCGTTTGCGCGCTGCACAACCAACCCCGGCCACCTGAGTTCGATTCCAGAACACGGCCGACATCCGCTTGCGAATACGTGAACCTGTCCTGGGCTCAGCCTTCATTGAATTCCGAGTGCGGTGTAAAAACACGCAAAACAAATCAGCATTGTGGAGATAAAGGCAGGCGGACGGCTTCTCTCGGTGCTCGCTAACAGCACTTGCCCGCCCACACAACCCGTGTAGGCTAAACGGGGGATGATCATCATAGTTGCCACTTACGCAGCTCGCGGAACGTGTCAACAGCCGGGCGGGCAACGCAATCCGGCGAAAAATCATCGTTGGGGGAGACAAAGGTGGCCGGGCGAGGTGCTGGCTACAAGCCACCCAATTCGTGCGCCCTGTCGGTTATAATCGACGCTCGCTGTGGCAGGGAGGCTGAGCCGGCACCGCTGATGGCCTGAATTCGAATCCAGGTTTCAGAACCACCGCCCCTCCATGCCTGAACCGAGGTTTCAAGCGTACGGCGAGAGTTCATTGTCTCAGCCCGGCCACGATTTTTGTTTGCTTTTTCTACCAGATAAGGCCCACTGAGCTACAAAGCTCGTTTTTCAGAAGCGACCAGGCCACAACTGATAGCTCAGCGAAGTGGCTCATCGTGTGGACATTTACAGCAGCCAAATCATTTAAACGCATTTGGAATCGAAATGCGGAGGGGGAAACCTGAGGACCCGGATACAAATTCACGCGACCACGGGGAGAACATGCAAACGACTGCACAACAACAGAGATGTTTTTTTTTCAGATGGCGACGGCTTTGTCGGAGCCTTCAACTCAGCAGCGGATTGATCATGGCTGCTGCTGCTGCTGATGATGATGATGGACTTAATTGTGAAGTGTCAGGCCACGGCATTAGCGCCGTCTGTTCACGCGTCGTGTTACGGACCGAAGGCAGCTGCCGCTCATTCTGTCCAGGGAGCCACGTGGTGTGGATCCTGTGTGTGTGTGTGTCTGGGCGTGCCTGTCGAGCACTTGCCCCTACAGTCAGTTAAGGCTATACGGGGGATCTTTGTCTTTGTCTGTCGTGTGCACAGTGGAGGATGTGCGGTGGGCTCGGCCACCCGACTTCGATACCCGCTCATGGCCAGTGACAGTGGAGATTATCTGAATCCTTGCTGGGCCTCCCCTGGGTCGACTCAGCCTCAAATTATTATATTGTGCGGTGTGTAAAAGAATCGCCACTGGGGAGACAAAGGCGGTCGGGCGTGGTGCTGGCCACCCACCCACTCGTGTGCCGTGCCGGCCCTGTTAGGTGCTCGCCAACAGCACTTGCCCAAACAGTCTGCTAAGGCTATAACGTGGTGGGCAGCGGTGGTGTAGCGGTTAGCGCAATGCGCTACGAACCGGACCCCATTCACCTCCGAATTTGATTCCAGGCTACGGATTTGACACATATATATGTATAACCGGCCAGTGGCGAATGCTTTTTAAACCGCACTGGGGAGACAAAGGCGGCCCGGCGTGGTGCATACCCAGACCACCCCATGGCGCGCAGCACCGGCCTTCATGTTTGATCGCTCGCAGAATGTTTCTCAACTTATTCAGGGTAAACTTAGCGCGAGTGTAGTGCGTGGTGTGTGGTGTGTAGTGTATAGTGCGTGGTGTGTAGTTTGCGTGGTGTGTGGTGTGTAGTGCATGGTGTATAGTGCGTGGTTTGTAGTGCGTGGTGTGTGTGGTGTATAGTGCGTGGTG